GGAACTAATGACCAGGTATTATTAGATTTCAAGGCTAAAATCTCTTCATTCATGGCTTTAATCCACTCAGGATTTTGAATGGCTTCAGAATATGTCTTAGGCTCAATTAAATGAGAGATAGAAGAAAGGTAAATATGAGTTTTAGCAGGAAGATGAGAATAAGAAAGAAAGTGAGAAATTGGATAAGTACCTGGAAGAGAGGAAGACTGGTAGGACTGCACAAAATCATGTAACCAAGCAGGCTATTTTTTTATCCTAGTAGACTGTCTAAGAGGGATAGTAATGCTACTTGATGAAGAGTCATCAGAAATAATAGGCTGAGGTGAAGGAGGAGGTAAAAAAGAATTATCTGTTGAAGCTTGAGGTGATGCAGACCCAGAAGGTATAAGAGATTAGGTGTGACAGGGCATGACCAGAAAATCAGAGTCAGAAAGTTCTTGAATAGGAAAAAATAGGGAAGAAGAAGAAATGAGAAACTTGAAGGGAAAAATGTCCTCATGGAACTTTACATCTCTATTAACAAAGAATGTTTTTCAAGATTAAACAAGAGGTAACCTTTTTTAGTGGCAGAATAACCCATAAAGATAGAAGGTATTGCTTTTGGGGAGAACTTATCCTTGTAGTTTGGTTGAGTGGCATAACATAAACAACCAAAAATTCTCATATGAGACAAATTGGGAGGTTTACCATAAAGAAGTTCAAAGGGACATTTGCCAGCTAAAGAAGAAGAAGGTAGCCTGTTAATGATATAACAAGCTGTGTTGACACATTCCCCCCAAAACTTAACAGGAACTTGGGAATGAAATTTGAGGGCTCTAGCTACCTCTAACAAATGCTTGTGTTTTCTTTCAGCAATGTCATTTTGCTGAACACAGGAACTTTGATGAATAATACCCAATGAAGAAAAAAATGAAGAATACTCACTAGAAAAAAACTCAGAACCATTGTCACTTCTAATGAATTTAATTGTGACTGAAAAATAATTTTTTACATAGGCAAAGAATTGTTTTAAAGAAAGGATTGCATCACTCTTAATCCTCAACAAAAAAATCCAAGACATCCTTGTGTGATCATCAACAATGGTGAGAAAATACCTATGACCACTATGAGTGGAAATCCTATAAGGTCCCCATAAGTCAATATGTATCAAATCAAAAAGTGCAGAAGCTCTAGATATATTGTGGGGAAAGGGTAACCTAGATTGTTTAGCAAGAGGACAAATGGAGCATTTATGGACACTGTCAGCATCAAACTTATAAGATTGTAAATATGGGATTTTATGTAAACTAGAGAAAGAGGGGTGTCCTAAACAAGCATGCCAAATCTTTGTATTATTGATAGTTGAAAGATTCATACATTTTGAAGAACCCAAAGCAGGAGTACAAGAAAAAGAATGACAATGAGGAACAGAAAAAATACCATAATCAAAAGTTGAAGAATCAAAAAAATACAGCCCACGAGACTCTCTACCAATCCCCTTCATCTTTCCAGTAGAGAGATCTTGTAAAATGCAGAAGTTAAGATAAAACGAAACAGTACAATTAAGCTCTTTGGTCAGTTTGGAAACAGATAAAAGGTTATTTGCAAAATTTGGTATAAACATGACATTTTGAAGGGAATTATTCTGGTCAAGGTAAACAAAACCTGTATGTGTTATGGGATATGTTTGGCCATTAGGTAAGTGTACAAGTCTAGAAGCTGATATACATAGAACATGATATATTAGTCTATGAAAATCTGATAACATATGGTCAGTGGCCCCTGAGTCTAATATCCATTTGAAAGAAAAATTGGTAGTGGCAGAGTTAATACCTGCAGTGTTTGCTGCAGCAGGTGTCACTGTATCCACAGTATGTTTCGTGTTCAAGAGATGAAGTATCTGATCATACTGAGCCTTTATAAACATAGGAACATTGGAGACAGCTTCAGGTTAGGACTCAGAACTTGACTGATTGTGAGACCCGAGAGGAGACCTAGTAGAGGCCAAAGCAACCTGGCCACCTTTCTTCTTGGAAAACTTAAAATCAGCCAGGAATCCTATCAACCGGTAGTAATTCTCACACTTATGCCCTCGAATTTTACAATAATCACACACACCAGAGAATTTCTTTTGATCAGTAGTCCCAGCAGAGGTAGAGTATAAAGCCAAGACCTCAGAGATTGAAGAAAGGACAGAAGAGTGAACCCTCTGCGATTCCTCCTGAACCAACATCGAATATGCCATATTAACAATCGGCAATGGCTGCATAAGCAGAATTTGACTCCGCACAACAGTAAATGTCTTATTGAGACCCATGAGAAATTGAAATAATTTCTGCTGTGTATAGTGAGCTGTTGTGCATTGTGAAAGAGCACAACCACAAGGGGAAATGGGAGCCAATGCTTCATACTCATCCAAGAGCGATTTTAATCGAGTAAAATACGTTGAGATGGAATAATCGCCTTGATTCAGGAGCGCGATTTCTTGGTGAAGGAAGAAAGATCTGGAACCATCAACATTGGCAAATCGCTCCCTCAAATCTTGCCAAACAGACGCAGCACTAGACACAAAAACAATCCCAGCGGAGAGCTCCTTGCTGACGGTATTAAGGATCCAGGATAGGACGAGAGCATTACACCTCTCCCACTGAGGATGTAAAGATTCGTCGAAATCATTTCTTCGGCAATCACCGGTGACAAAGCCTAATTTTTTCTTCGCAAGCAGGGCAATCTTCATCGACCGACTCCACACACCATAGTTCTCGATGCCGAGAAGCTGATGCGAAACAAGGAGAAAACTCGGTGCATCGGAAGCATACAGGAACAGTGGGTGATTGAAATCGAAGGTTGAATTCTTCATGGCTGCGAAGGAGATGAAAAGAGAAGTAAAATCCCTAAATCAATTTTGACCGTACAAAGCAAAGTCAAGGGAAATTATCTGACTCGTGATACCATGTTTAAAAGGCAAATTTATAGAAAACATGCTCCAACTATCTTATTCATCATAATAATCAGTTTACAAAACTAAAGCCTTTATATACAACCACTAACAGTTACTAACCTCACTTAACAAACTAACTAATTAACAACAGCAACCTAACTAATTATCAATAACTTAACTAACTAAATATCTAACAACTAACAGTTGTTGGGACCTTAGCACGTTTGGGTTTTCGCGTAATGGAATATCCCTAACCCGACCTTGAAGAAGAACCGTCGATCAACTACTTTCGGGACTTTTACAGGGAATTTAGCGGTGGCGAGACTGGATTTTCCGATTGAATTTCATAGCATAGGTGGAGTCATTGAACTGTGGAAGTTTTGCTTTTAGAAGCGACACCTTTTTGTTATTAGATTTTGAGGCTAAAACAGATTTCTCATATTCTAGAATTCCTATCGTGGTGGTATTGTCAAAAGTGGCAGGGCCAGTCGCATAAGGCCTAGCTAACATAACAAACTTGATATTTCGGGTATTGGATTTGGCCCTAAGAAGGACATTAATGGTCTGCCCCGATGTAATAAGTACGGTATCGGTTTTGAAGGGTTTTACATACACTGTATCAGCTTCCACAATAGTGAGTGTGTGGTTCGCTATTCTGAAGAGGAGCTCGTCATTGAGTGCAGCGTTGACAAGACGAAGAAGATAGGTTTTACTGGCCTTTACCTTGAGCTTGAATGTTTCTACATATGTTTAGTTAACTTGATTTTAGTGTCCTTGAATTGGACCTTTCCAATAGAGATTTACAATGTTGTAATTGTAAGATGATGAGGTACCTTTTGTTGAGCAATTGTAAGAAGGCCCCTAGAGACCATTAAGGGTGAAGGCATCCGAGATATTCGGTGCTCCTCCAGTTGTCATTGACTGGTTAATTTGGTTCTACATTAGAGATTGGAGTTAAAATAATAAACAAGATATGGTGGATGGGATTAAAGGTTTACTAAATGAAAATGTTTAAGCTTGTAAGGAATAACAGAGGTGCAGCTCATAGTTGCAGCATATTTTTTTAATCTTAAAACTTAGAAGAAGGAAGAAGGAAGAAGGAATAAGAAACAAATAAGGAATAAGAAGAAGAAGACTTGAGGGTGTTGTTTTAACAGATTTAACATGCCACATCAGCAAAAACTGATGGGAAGTAACGGTAGGAACCCTTTTGAAAACGAATTAAAAGTTCAATGACTGTATTATAAGTTTCAAAAATTGGGTGACCAAAATGCAAACGTCTTAAAAATTAAAAGATAATTTATATACTTTACCTTTAATGTAATTGTGCTCAAAACCGCATATAATAGGAAGAGTTTGACTAAAATAATTAAGACATAAAAGTCAAAGTTATGTTGCTTTTGGAAGGGTCTAGATGAAGTAAAGTATCTTTAAATGTGTTTTGCTTTCTATATTGATAATGATGGAATGATTTAAAGATAACTATCAATTATTTGATATTGAACTATTGTACTCTTGATATTATCGATGCTTGAACTCGAAATCTCAAAAATTAACGACAATTCTTTCCCCATCAAATTTATTGATTTTTTGTTTAATATGGAAAATAACAAATAATTTTCAGTTAATGATTATGTGACAGCGCGCATATTAAACATATATATATATATCACATGATATATATAATATAATAGGACGAATTCATCGTTAATTATCAATTTACTCTATTATATATATATATATTAAAAACGTTATTAACGTTTTCTTTTGTAATTTCAATAAGGCCATCTCCAATGCTCATATCTACTCTAGCGCATCTCTATCTCTACTGTAGAGATGAAACAGTAATTCATCTCCAGCGCTATCTCTACATTACTACAAATCTACTTTATTCATAATATTTAACTATTATAATATTGATTTTAAAAATATAAAATAAAGCATATATATTTCTAATAAATATCAAGATAAAAAACATAAATAAAACATTCATAAATAGCAATGCGAAAATACAAATAAATAAGAAAATTACATTTCATAATAATATTGCAAAAAAACATGAGTTACATAATTATATATTTTAATTCTCGGAATTAGAATATTCATTCCACAAATGTTCAATTAGTGCATTTCGTAGAGCAAAATGAGCAGTTGCATCTTTGATTTGTCTAAATCGGGCAAGGAATTCTTGAAATTGAGTGTCCTCATCTTCAACAAATTCGACATTCGGAGGCGGCACATCTCTTTCTTCAACAATTGGAGAATTAAGATCTCGTTCATCCTCGATTATCATATTATGCATTATTATGCAAGCAGTCATAATATCTTTCTTCAAATCATTATTATGCATTATTATGCAAGCAAATCGAAGAAGACTCTGTTCTTGCAAATTCCTTCAATGAATCAACGGAAAAGCTTCGAGAAGCATTATGTTTATCAAAGGCACAAGGGGATATTGCTCTTCAACTGGAAAAAGAAAGAATAGAGGCCATAAATAGAAGATCTGAAATTGCACAATTGAGGAGAGAGGACAAGATTCTAGCGATGGATCCAGATACCATTTCTGACCCCGAACGACGCCACTATTTTCGAAACGAACAACAAAAAATTCTTCGGAAACGAAAAGAAGAAGAACAGTCAACATCTACTACTTTTAATGTGTTTGGAATGAACTTTGATGATCTTGGAGGGAGTGGAGGGGGTTTGTCTGATTATTAGTTAAAGTGTTGTGTTTGAGTTGTTGGTTAAAATGTTGTTCGAGTTTTATTAGTATTTTCTATGTTTTTATGTTTGTTGTAGTTTTTATGTTTCAAAAAATTAGTATGTTTATTTATCTAATTTCAATGTATTTTTATCTATCTTGCAAATTAATCTACTTGAATTTAAAAAAAATCATAAAAAATATAAAAAATCAGAAAAAATACAAAAAAAAATACAAAAAATCAGAAAAATTACAAAACAATTAATATTTTATATATATATAATTTTAATGTATTTTTTATCTTGTAATTTAATTTATTTGAATAAAAAAAAGAAAAAGAAAATTGTAGCGCATGCTGCAGTACCGCGCCAGATGTGGCGCGGACTGTAGCGTCTCGCTACTGTAGCGAGAGATGTGGCGATGGGCTGGAGGGGGTTTTTTCTCCATAGTGGAGATATTCTCCAAATGTGGAGAAGCATTGGAGATGCCCTAAGTGGTTGTTGAATAAGTGGTTGTTGAAAAATTTAATATTTTCTCCTGACCAAATACGATGATGACATTTGGCATCATTTAAATTTTCTTTAACCAATACGATAACGTCACGCTAAATAAAATAAAAAAATTATATTGTTCTTAATGGTAGGGAGAGGATTTGAACTTTGGTCCAGGCTCTCCATCGGCCCCATTATTATCATTTTCGTAAGGTCTATAATCGTGGGACTATTGTTGTAATTGTACCTCATTCTTTGTCTCTGCAGACAAAAATATCAATCTGGAAAGAATAAAAAGTCGATTACGAAGTAGCGGTTCAACCTACGAGGCGGGGATGACATAACTAGAAGGTCGAGGCAAGATAAAAAGAATAAGTTGTTGTTTTTCGAAAGTAGGGTTTATCGTTTCCAGTTGGAGGACTTGTACAACCGAAGTGTTGGGAAAATGTAGCGTCTGAACATCATACAAGGTGATGCTGAAAGAAGGGATAATTTTTATCTCAGCTTATCAGAAAAGGGTAACAGATTATGATTGGGAGATCAACCTTTTTTGAGATAGAGTGAAATCAAAGTAATAGTTTAATAAGATAAATTGGAAAAATAATAATAATTTAAGATGTAAAGTGAGGAAAAACATATACTTTGAAGGAAAAGTTATAAATAAAACCTTATTAATTTAGGTCAAAACAGTTGATATTTGGGATTGATTCAAATTGGTTCATTTACTAAGATCATCTCTAGCCCTCATCTGTACTCTACAACATCTCTATATTTACTCTAAAGATGAATCAGTAATTTTTCTTCAGTGTTATCTATACATTACCACCAACTTTACTTTATTCACAATATTTGACTATTATAATATTGATTTTGTAAATATAAAATAAAACATATATATTTCTGATAAATATCAAGATAAAAAGAATAAAACAAACATTCATAAATAACATTGCGAAAATACTGAGAAAATTGAAGAATTAAGATCTCTTCCCTCTACAATTAGAGAATTAAGATCTTGTAATTTAATTTATTTGAGTTTATTATATTATGTTTAATTTTTATTAGATAGAAATTACAATAAAAAACATAAAAGATATAATAAAAATAAAATAATGTAACAAAGAAAAAAAAAAGAAAATAATAAAAGAAAGTAAAAAAATCAAAAATAAAAAATATAACAAAAAATATATATATATAGATCAACTACAGTACAATATTAGCTATAACGTTGCACTGTAGTCGAAGCATTATCTCTACTCCAAAGTGACGATGGGCTGGAAAAATGTCTTTACTTCAAAGTGGAGATTTACACTTAAAAGGCATGTCAATTATAATGGCATTTTTTAAAAATAATTTGATTAGACATATGCAAGAGTGAGTTGCTCCGATAGGCTTTTATCCTGTCAAAACTGGTTTTGGTACCCAAAAATAATAATATGAACTCAACCATACTCTGAGAATACCAACGAAACAGATTAATTTATTGAAACGCTACTTTAATACACGCCATTATCAAATTAGGGCTTCACCAAGCTTTCAGTTTTATCTCAATCATAATTAGGGATGGACGAAGAGATATGAGTGCGATTGTACTCATCAAAATTTTATATAAATTAAGTATTTTTTATTTCTAAAATTTATTTTATATTTTTAAATTTCTAAAATAATTTTTTAAATTCATAAATTGATAAAATCTTATTCATAATTAATTTTTTAATGATTTACTTAATGTAAAGACTCACATTTTTCATCTAAATTTGCCATCGCCCAGGGTAGTATATATTATTCCAAGGCGAACAAGTGAAAAGTGAAACCGAAGTGAACTTCAGTATTCGTGGTTGTCAGCAATGGACGGACCCTCCCCGACCACCGACCCTCTAAGGAATGAATTCGGATCTCTGAACGACCTAGCCCACGAGCTCGCCTCTCTCCAAGACCTTGCGCTGCGCGGCTCCTGGCGTTCCATTCTCGACAAAGTTTCCCGTGCCCGTTCCCTCGACCTGCTTTCCAAGCCCCACGACCACCTCATCTACCTTTCCTACAACGTCCTCGCCCTCACCAAGCTCCGCCGCTTCACCGACGCTTCTGCCGAGATCGACTCTCTCCACGACTTCAACAGCCACCAGTACAAATACGAATCCTACCCTCAACTTTATCCCTCCCGCTCCGGTTCTATGGTCCCCTTCTCCCTCCGCTTCATCCACGCCCAACTCCCCTTCAAGCTTGAGAATCGCCAAGAAGGGTTAGATCGATTTTACCTTTTGCTTAGTTTTATTCGTCAGAAAATTAAAGAGAAGGGAAGTAACAGTTTTCAGGAGTCTATCAAAATTTGGAGAAAAAGGGAAAATTTTGTGTTACATTGTTTAATTGGGCATCATTTGGGGGCTAAGGATTTCATTGTATGTTTAGATTTGATTAGGGATTTGATCGATCATGATTATTTAGACCCAGTTTTGATTTCCAAATTAGGGTATATTCAAATGCAGGTTGGGGATATTGAAGGGGCAAAAGGATCGTTTCATCGTGTCGAGACAATGTTCAATGAAGGGAAGAATGATGGGTATTCATCCTTGAGTGAGGTTGAGTTTAGAAATCTTGTGAATAGAAACAAGGCCTTGATTTATTTGGTAGGCAAAGATTATGTTTCTGCTGTTAGGGAATATGAGGAATGTATTGAAAGGGATCACACGGATGTTGTAGCAGTTAATAACAAGGCGCTTTGTTTGATGTATTTGAGAGATTTGTCAGATTCGATTAAGGTATTGGAGAATTCACTTGAAAGGGTGCCTACCGTGGCATTGAACGAGACTTTGGTGATCAATTTGTGCAGTATGTATGAGTTGGCACATGTTAATCACTCAGAGATTAAGAGGACTTTGAGTAATTGGATTGCTGGAGTTGCTCCTGATGATTTTGATGCATCCTGTACCAGAGCTTGAGGTATTCTTCTATTGACTTGTTAATTATTAGTAGTTTGTTTCACTGTCTATTTTTTCTGTTCAGTTAAAATAAGATTTAATTAAAGTTATCATATTACTCAAGATGCATTGTATTAGTAGTGAATTCTATTTTAGTATTTCTAACTCATCATTTATGCAGATGCTTTCTTGTGTGTCCTATGATGTTATGCTGGTTGAGGTGGTTTATTTAGTGGTGTTCTTTAGCAAAGTATTTTGGAATTGTGGTTTGTTAGATGCAAATTAGTAAATTATCAGATTTCAAATGAATTATGGTGTTATGCTGGTTGAGGTGGTTTATTTAGTGGCGTGCTTTAGGAAAGTATTAGACAAAAATACTTGCATGGGAGGTTTCTCATTCCAGAACGAGCCTCAGTTTCCATACATATACCTACTATCAGCATGAATGCAATCATTGAGAGAGCTTTAGCACAACCTGTATTAAAAGACAATCATGATAAATGTGGTTTGGGGAGAAAACAACAGGAAGTAAATAAAATTAAAGCTCAAAACGAGTAAGAAAGAAAGAACTTTTGAAGATCAAAGGGTTATAATACCCCCTAGTGTGTGAAATCTATTAATTAAAAGAAAATAATAAGCTGGCTGGAAATTAATTTTCAGCTTATTTATATTAGGTTTACAAATAAAGCTTTAATGACTTATAATACTAACCTAAGGTAACTTAAATGATAACTCATAATCCTTGCCATCTTTCTATACATCTAAATACTAACTAAAATTGAAAGAATAAAATAACATAATAGTAGTAGGTCTTGTACCGCTATAAGTTTGTCATATAATTTGGGGGTAGTGTTAGCTGAGGGAAATGACACATGAGATGCACCTGTGAACTCTAGGGAAAGGCGAAGGAAAGAATTCCTTTACTAACTCTATACCTGCAGCCATGATCTAACAAAACTTCTGTAACATTCCAACCACATGTATGTAACATACACATTTCCACAATACAAGTAGTTGGTAGCTGCTAGACATGGTGAAGAACATTTGGATCTGGTAAATCTACAAGTACTAAAATAAAAAGGGTTTTAGCAGTAGAAAGTTTTGTCTGCATATTCTTTAGCAATTATGAAAATTTCCCAATTATCTACTATCTTCTAATTCTGAGATTTTCTAAGAAAATTATTATTTTGTTTAGGTAGTAATATAACATGTTCTTATGGTCGGCATTTCTTGTTATCCTTGGTGGTTATCGGTGAAGTTGGTCTCATCTCAATTGAACTCTAATCAGCTTTATGTCCTATTTGGTATTCCAGCAATGAGCATCTGATGCAAGTAAACTCCGTTGTTGTCCTTTTATGGTCTATTTCATTCTTTTGGGTCCTTAGTTCGTACCTGCCTTTGCATCAAAAGCAAAACACCGTGTTGGTATCCTTATGGTCTAATGAATCTGAATTTGAGCAGGGTTAGACAGTAAAGCTGCATAGAGTTGGTTCTGAACAGGGACTTGCAAGGTTCAACCTTTTGCACTCTTGTTTCTTTGCCTTGTGGGAGACCGAACTTGTGGAATTCATTGTCATATTTACTACATCCTTCATGGTTTCCTTTTGTTTTTATAGAGAGGAATAATGATTTATCAAGTGACGCACTCATTTATAAAATTTTAAAGATTTTGTAACTTTCACGTGGAGCTTTTGACCTAAAATATCATCAGATGGAGCTTTTAGTCAAAAGACTCTGATAATGATAAATTTTTGTGACTTGAAAACCGAGAAATTATCAATCACATCAAATTAGTTTGATCCCTCTTTATGTTAACTTTTGTTTCACATTTTTTTCTTTTAAGATTAAATTTATTGAATTAAATTAAAATTAAAACTAAAATGATAGAATGTAATTAGGATTGTATTTGTAATTATAAAAATATTTTTAACTGTCACATCAGTATTTTCGTTAATTGTTAATGGTATAACATTTTAGTAGTTGAGTGATTTAATTGAAAAATATTTTAATTTGATGGTTAAAATGAAGTCAACCCTATTATTTAATGACTATTAATATAATTTACCCTATAATAAATTTCTAGATGTATATTTTTTTTTATTTTGATAATTTACCCTATAATATATTTTTATATGCATATTTAAATTTTTAATCCAAATTAAAGTAAAACATGAAAATATTAAATTTTAGTTTTGTTCCTTTGAGATAAAAAGATTATGCACCAAAAACAATAGAGAATTGATATGGCTGCAATTTATTTGTTTAAAAACAATGAAAATTTGTAGCACCAAACTAAGATGACTTTTTCGCTTGTCGGATTTTCATTCTAAGAAGAGGAGCCTTTCTTTTCCCTTTTGCCGGCCCACTTGCTCTTATCCCCACCACATGCTTATCTTAAAGCATTTTAAAATGTTATTCCTTATTTATCCTTTCGAACTTCCTATCTATTTTTATTTTATCTTATTATTAAAACTAAATTTATTAAATGTGTAAAATAAATGATATTATTTTATGAAAAAAATTAAATAATATTATTTAATTAATATATATATTTATACGGTCAACCTTAGGGTAGCCATAAGTTTCAAAGAAACGATTGTTTTAACATAAGCAAACATTAAATGACAAAAGATTAAGTATCCAATTAAAATATTTAATAACTAATGTTTAGCTATGTCTATTGGTCATGCTTCTTTGATCAAACACGTCTATTCTTTGAATCCATTAATCACGGTGATTAATAAAAGTTTTGTTCTTGATAGAGGTCATGGGTTTGAATAGTTGTGTCGGTAAAGTTTATGTGCATTTTCAATAGTTAATAAATATTCTAAATATATATTATCTTATAATCACCTCAAACTATTTAATATATATATATATATATATTCTTTTTTTAATATGTTTAATTGTGTGAAAGATTTTTGTATTTATTCAAAATTTAATAATTATATTTTATAAAATAACGTTTATATATTATTTTTATTTAAAATCTTGATTTATCTCTTAATTTTGGTTTCATTTTAATATTTATTGTTGATCTGATTACTATAAAAAAAATATAAAACAGTATTTTAATTTTTATATTCTTTACCCTTAAAAAGTTGCAAGGGTAGATGATTAAAAAAAATTTATTCGATTAGTAATAGATTTTTAGATTCATAAAAAAAATCTATAAACATAAAGGATCAAATTTTGTTTTTTTCTTTTTACTGGTCAAATCATCAATTAACAATAAAATATAATATAAGTAACTAGAAGAAGGATATTTTCTATGATTAGAATTTAATAATTACAAGATAACATATATTCAAATGATTCTCAATCGTCTGACGATAAACATTCAAATATCCTTATAAATATCGACATACTTAAATCTTTTTAACGTTTTAGATCCGAACGGCATGCTACAACAACTAGCACGCCAGTGAGTAAGAATGATAACGAATACGACATCTGCATTTTTTTAAATTATTTCATAAATACATGTAATCAAACAATACTTAATTTGTGGACATAGATTAGCTCAATTGGTTGAATAATGATCATTATTGTTTTAGTAAATACTATAAGATTCAAAACTTGTCCTATTTAGCTTTATGGAAAACAAAACTAACTTAATTAGATTCAAGGGATGGGTACTTACAAGTTTTGTATTGATGATATTAAAACAAGTAAAATGTAATTAGATTTGAATGAAAATGTAGGTACAAGCCTGATTTCTGGCAGTCCTATTGTTTCATCCTCTGCATTCTAAAGAGAGACCGTTTCTTTAACCCGTCGAGTTGTTTTTCCCAAACATTTCTGGGAAATTTTGATTCTCTGTCCTCCATAAACCCTAAACCCAGCTCACAGTCATACATTTGACGAGAAACCGGATCCGAAAGCGTCTCGTAAGCCATTTGGAGCTCAAGAAATCGCTTTTTGGATTCCTCTTTGGCAGAAGGAGGGCAAACATCTGGGTGGTACTGAAGCACCATTCTCCGATAAGCTCTTTTGATATCGGACAAACCCACGTTCTCGGCATAACCAAGAGACAGAACTTCGTAAAAATTGGCACTTCCTCTTTGCATGGCTAAATTACCAGCCCTGCATGATATACCAGCCCTGTAATTGTTATTATTATTATTATTGTAAGGCTTTTGCTTCAACCCCAGCTTTGCTGTTGTTGCTGCTGTTGAAACCATTTGCATGGAAGTGATATCCATATCAAGTGTGCGTTGAAGAAGATGTTTCCAAAGGAAGAGTTGAAGGGTTGATTTAGGGAGAAGGAGGTGATTTATTTATATAGAAAATGTGCGTTTAGTTGATTGTGTTGTTTAGGTGAAAAAGAGGGAGATGAAGGCAGTATTGGGATTAGGTAGCCGTCCTTGGCTTTGTTAATTCGTCTCGGCTGCTACTTTCTATGGCGGCTGCATCCAAAATTTGAACCTATTTTATTAAGGTTTGGTTGACATGCACGCCAATATGGTTTTCTAAAGTCGTCAAATATTCTATATAAAAAAATAGTAACGAGAAAGAATTGCTATTAGATCTCGTTGCGTTGCGTTGGTGTTATGTTTGAATTCTTTGAATCCAAGCTTCGCCTTTAAGGATATGGCTATTAAAAAATTTAAGACTAAACTATGTATTTAGAAATCTACTTATTCTTATGGATTTGTTTTAGTTATTCAATTTTTTTAAAATAATCAATTTGTTTTAGTTATTCTTATGGCTATTAAAAAATTCACGCCAACACACTAATAATCAATGATAAATTTTTTCAGTCAAAAAACTAAATTAATATATTTTACGAGTTTAATTTAGGGATGTACATGAGTCTTGTTGGGTCAGATTTTCTGTCAACCCAAGCCGGGTTAAGGGAGACTTCACTCGATCTGAACACAACCAATCTTTTTGATATAACGCTCGAACCTGACTGACTTGATCTGAAATAAATACATTTATAAAAAAATGTTATTTTTATTCAACAAAAATAGAGATCTAATTAAAAATTAATATATAGAGAAATATTATAACAATATCTCAAAATATATAAAATATAATTATATTATTTTTGAGATCAGGTCGAGTCGGAACTCGTTGGATTCGGATATCATACCCATTGTTGCGAAATACGACTATCGGATAGAGCAAAATCGCAACTGATAATTTGAGAAAATAAAAATGAAGATAAAGAATACACAAAATTTACGTGGAAAACGACTAAATAATATAGGGTAAAACCACAAGCAATGGTAGAAGAATTTCACTATGAGAAAATATGAATTACAACTTCTCTCGATCTAACAAGGACAAAACAATGACAATTCTCTCTTGATAAAAAAGAGAAAACAACTCTAAAGAAACTCTCTAAATTCTCTAGTATTGGGAGAAAACTAGAATGATTTGAGATGGTTTTGAAGCTAAATGGGTTAGGGTATTTATAGTTGAAGCTTAAGGACTAATCTTGTAAATACCCTAAAGTACAATGACTAAATTGTGATTTTACCATTGTCCAAATTCAACTAAAAAACAATCTAACTTTCAGTGCATTTAATTAGGCACTTTTGGTGCCTACAATTGTTGAATTTTCAATAATCTCCCACTTGAAGATTTGATTAGAATAATCATATCTTCACACCATTTTTTCTACCTTGTACCTTCATGTTTCTTGTCTCTGACAGGCCACAAGAGGATCAACACCAGGTAAATTTATCAACATTGATTGCCTTCGCCATGAAATATGCTATGTTGTTTTTGGTATGGATTTTCTGCATATCTACCATCCCTTCTTCCACATTTTCACGAATGAAATGATACTGAACTCGTATGCGTTTTGTCCTTGAATGAAATGATGGATTACTTGCTAGATGGAAGGCGTTTTGATTGTCACAAAATAGAGAGACATACTCTTGATTGTGCCCAAGCTCCTCAAATAACATCTTCAACCAAATTGCTTCTTTACTGGCTTGTATAGCTGCTACATATTCTGCCTCTATTGTGGATGTAGCCACAACTTACTGCAATTTTGAAACCCATCTTATAGCTCCACCAGCAACTTTGAACACATATCCTATAGTATATTTGCTTTACTGTATTCCAATGCTCTTTGCCTAGATTCACCATGTACCGACTAACAACTCCCACTGCTTGTGCAATGTCTGGTCTTGTGCATATCATAGCGAACATTAAACTCCCCACTGTCGATGCATACAATACTCTAGACATCTCCATCCTCTCTTCTTTACTGCTAGGACTCATATTGGAGGATAATTTGAAGTTAATAGGAAGAGAGGTAGAAATTGGCTTACAATCTTGCATGTTGAATCGTGACAAGATTTTCTTCAAGTAATTCTTTTGTGAAAACCAAATCTTCCTATTACTTCTGTCTCGGTGAATTTGTATCCCTAAAATCTTGTTTGCTAATCCCAAGTCCTTCATTCAAATTCCCTAGCCAGTTATGCCTTCAATTCTTCAATATGATCTTTGTTGGGTCCTGCAACCAACATGTCATCCACATACAACAGCAATATAACAAAATCGTTATCACCAAACCTCTTGAAATAAGCACAAGGGTCTGCTTTAGACCGTACAGAGATTTGTTCAACCTGCAAACCAAGTTCTTCTTTTTTTTTCTTCAAAACCTTTAGGTTGGAGCATGTAAATCTCTTCTTCAAGATTCCCATGAAGAAAAGATATTTTAACATCTAGTTGCTCTAGATGTAAGTTCAATGTAGCACACATTGCCAAGACTACTCGAACTGTTGTTAGTCAAACCACATGAGAAAATATTTCATTAAAATCAATATCTTCTTTTTAAGCATATCCTTTGACCACCAGTCTTGCACGATACCTCTCCACTTGATCGTCACCATTTCGCTTGATTTTAAAGACTCATTTGTTACCAATTGGCTTCCTTCCTTGTGGTAGTGGCACAAGGTATCATGTATTATTTTTATGAAGGGTTTCAATTTCTTCTTGCATCGCCATCATCCACAGTGAAGCATCTGAGCTGTTTATTGCCTCTTGGTATGTTGATGGCTCACCGTCTTCTATTAAAAGACATTATGCAATATTTCCTTCTATAACATAATCTGAGTGCCAATTAGGACGTCTTCTCACACGATCTGATTAACGACTTGTTGGAGCTTCAGAACTCTCTGGTTCTTGTTCATCATGTGCTGGTTCTGCTTCAAAAGAATCTTATTGTTCAAACTCATTTTCCACATGTATCTGCGTAGTTTTTGACTTTTCAGTGCTACTATATTCTTCTTTTCTTTGTAGTTTATCTTCTACAAAGATAACATCCCTATTGATGATCACTTTACGGGCAATGAGATCCCACAAGTGATACCCCTTTACACCATCAACATACCCAAAAATTTGTATTTCCTGGATTTTGGATCCAACTTTGAAATTTATTGGGAGTTGTACATCACGTACACAATACTTCCAAATACATGGAGGTTTGAATAATCAACTGGTTTACCAGTCCACATCAACATTGGTGTCTTCAGCTCTATTGCAGTTGATGGAGCTCGATTCACCAAATAGCAAGCGGTATTGACTGCTTCTGCCCAGAATGATTTTTCTAGGCCTGCATCCCTCAACATTTCTCTTGTTCTTTTTAACAAGGTTTTGTTCATCCGCTCTGCTACTCCATTTTGTTGAGGAGTGTTTGACACTGTGAACTGTCTTTTGATGCATTCTTTCCTGCAAAAGTCATCAAATTTTTCGCTTGTGTATTATCCTCCATTATCTGCTCTGAAACACTTGATCTTATTTCCAGAATCAAGTTCCACCCGTGCTTTGAAGTTTTTGAAAGTTAAAAACACGTCTGACTTCTTCTTAATATGGTACACCCAACATCTTCTGGAGTAGTCATCAATAAATGAGACAAAGTATTTTGCTCCACCTAGGGATGTAAATGTGCTTGCCATACATTAGAGTGAACCAATTCTAGAACACTTTTGCCTCTAGAATTTGATGTGTTGAATTTCAACCGGTGCTGCTTACTTGTTATGTAATGCTCACACAAAGTAAGTGATACCTTTGTTAAGCCTGACAGTAGCTTTTACTTCACAAGGACTTTCATTCCTTGTTCTGAAATTTGTCCAAGTTTCTGATGCCATAGCATTGCATAATCTGAACTACATGAGGCAACAAAGGCTTTTGCTTCTAACAAAGTCGCTCCCTTCAGCATGTACAAGTTTGCTACTATCTTTTCGCCTTTCATCACCATAAGCGCTCCACGAAACACCTTCATTATTCCTTTCCGTGTTTCAATCTTGCTTGCATTATTATCCAACAATCCGTAGGATAATAACTTTTTCTTCAAAACTTTCACATGTCGCACATCTCGAACAACTTTAATTGTTCTATCATACATCTTCAATTTGATGGTTCCCACGCCAACGATCTCTAAGGCATGATCATTGCAACTATACACATATCCTCCTGAGATATGTTCATAATGATGAAACTATTCTCTTCTTGAGGTCATGTGATATGTTACTCCCGAATCAATGAGCCATATATCTGCATATCTCTTTCTACTTTCCACGGTGGTTGACACTTCACAGCATAGAGCATCTTCATCATCTGAAGTGTTTGCGGTATTGCCTTGTGGATTGGAGTTTTTATTTAGACTCCAACAATCCTTCTTCAAGTGACCATTCTTTTCACAGTTATAGCACTTTAAATTCTTCTTGCTTCTCGACTTTGATATACCATGTTTGTGACTGCTGCTTTTTCCACGTTCTGTTGATCTCTCCCCCATCGTTGTCAATGCTTTTGCTTGTTGCAGATTTACTTGTCTGTCTTCCTTGTTCTTACGCTGATTTTCTTCTTGTAAAACAACAGTTGCAACATCATCGAAGACTATACTGGTGACATTACTGTTTGTCAAGTTGATGATGAGTTGATCATACGAATCAGGTAGACTTTGAAGTAGAAGCTCAACACGTTCTTGTTCTCCTATTGTACATCTTAAGGATGTAAGATGAGAAAATAAAATGTTCAGCGTGTTTAAGTGCTCTGTCACTGAAGTAGATTCTGGCATCCGAATAGTGTACAATTTCCTCTTAAGGAAAATTTTATTGTGCAATGATGTGGGCTCGTACAGTTTGGTGAGATGATCTCATATCTCCTTAGTTATCTTCTTCTCCTCGATGTTTGACAATACTTCATCTGCTAATGCTAGATGAAAGTTTGTCATAACATTTCTGTCCATTTCAATCCATTTGTTGTCATCTGTGAA